GGCTGGGAATAATTTTCAGTCTTTTACGAGTAAGACTAAATGTTAGCTGTGGGGTTTTTTTTCATGGATGCCTCTAGCAGTTTGAGAAAGTTTCTTCCAGTTCCTAGTTTACCGAGTGTTTATCATGAAAAGGTGTTGGATTTTGTGCTTTTTCTGCCTCGGTTTAGTTGACTGTGTAGTTTTGTTCTTTATTCTATTAGCATGGTATATTATATGTATTACATTTTATATGTTGAACCAGCTTTTATTCCTGGAATAAATCTCACTTGGTTATGGTGTATAATCATTTCTATATGTTACTAGATTCAGATTGCTAGAATTTTAAGGATTTTGTGCCTAAGTTCATAAGGGATGTTTGTCTATAGTTTTCTCTTGATATCTTTGTCTGGGCTTAATATCAGCGTAATGTTGGCTTCATAGAATCAACGGAGGAGTGTTTCCTACTCCCGTTTTTCCAAAGTCTTTGTGAAGGATTCATGTTAATTCTTCTTTAAACGTTTGATAGAAATCACCATGAAGCCATCTGGTCCTGGCTTTCCTTTAAGGGAAATTTTTTAAATTACTGTTTCAATTTCTTGTTATAAGTGTATTCAGATTTTCTATTTCTTCTTGAATCAATTTTGATAGTTTGTGCCTTTGTAGGATTTTGTGTGTTTCACCTAGGTTATCTAATTTGTTAGCATACAATTGTTCATAGTAGTCCTTAATAATTCTTTTTATTTCTGTAATGTTTATAGTGATGCTCCTCTTTTATTCCTGACTCTAGTATTGAGTCTTCTCTCTTTTTCTCTTGGTCAGTCTAGTTAAAGCTTTGTCATTTTTGCTGATCTTTTCAAAGAATCAAGTTTCAATTCCTTTGATTCTCTGTATTTTAAAATTTTCTATTTCATTTCATTTTGACCTTGATTCTTTCCTTCATTCTGTTTTCTTTGGACTTAATTTGCTCTTCATTTTTTGTTTCTTAAGGAGGAAGATTAGGTCATTCATTTGAGAGCTTTCCTTTTTTTAACATAGGCATATACAGCTATAAGCAATTCTCCAAGCATTGTTTTCATTGCATCCCATAAGTTTTGATATGCTACATTTTTATCTTTATTTATCTGGAAGTATTTTCTAATTTTCCTTATGGTTTTTTTTTGACTCATTGGTTATTTAGGAGTGTGTTATATAATTCCCACATATTGGTGAGTTTTCCTGTTTTCTTTCTGTTAATTTCTAATTCCATCTCCTTGTGGTTAGACGACATATGTACATTATTTCAGCCCTTTTAAATGTATTGACTCTTGTTTTATGACTTAACATATGGTCTGTCCTGGGGAGTATTCTATGTGCACCTGAGAAGAATGGTATACTTCTTGAATATATTTGCTGTTTTAAATCATACTTGAGGAGTTGTGAGCATGATCCTTAAATAGTCTCAGATGGTCTTCCTGCTCCCTGCTCCCCCCCGCCCCCCCCCCGCACTCCCACTATGTGTATGCTGGTCTGCTTGATGGTGTTCATGGCCTCTGAAGCCCTGCTCATGTTCTTCCATTCTTTTTTCTTTCTCTTTCTCAGAGTAGGTGAGTCCAGTTTGATGCCGGGTGGAGTAGAGTGCAAAACCTGTGAATTATTTGTCTCGTTTCTAAAATGAATTTTAGAGCAGCAGCAAAGTTTTCAAACAAAGTTTATTAGCAAGAAAAAGAGAAAAAGGAAGAAGGAAGATTCATGGTAGAAAGGCCTGCCACGGGCAAGTTTTTCAAAGAAGAAAAACCACACTTTTCTCAACTCCAAACTAGATATAGCTACCTAGTTATTGATATGCTCATGTGTGGAGTGCAGGTAACCATGGCTCCAGAGAGACTGACATCTCTAGGCTTCTGATGGGAGGATACAAGGGGAGGGGTCTTTCCTGACCACTTTGTTTCCCAAAGGAAACCTGCTTGAGCTTTCCAATTCCCAGGTTCCTTAGTTAAAAGGTGATCTTATTATAATTTTCATGGCCTTGGTCAGTTAAGGGGTGGTCTTTGGCCTTCTGCCTTTGACAGGGAACCTGAAAGTTTCTTAGTGATTATTACGTTAAACCATGAATTCAAAGGTTAGGCTGTCCTAGTCTTACACCTGATAGAGTTTTCTTCTGATTTGCCGAGGGAGTGGGGTAGGCTGCCAGCTTAGCCTGCAGTAAAATGTAATTTTAATAATGTCTGAAGGCTTCCTAAAACCTGTCTGTATTTATCTATGTCTAACCTGTGCTAGCTACCCTGTCTCAAGTTGACCTATCCTCATGGTTGTTGATGTTTTTCTCCTTCCTGCTCAAATCTCCTATTGAGTCCCTCTAGTGAATTTTAGTTACTGTACATCTCAACTCCAGAATTTGTATTTGGTTCTTTTTTTTAAATTTATTTATATTTATCTCTTTATTGGTATTTTCTGGTGAGGACTCATTTTCTTACTTTCCTTTAGTTTTTTTTAGACATTTTAAAAACTTATTTATACATTGTTAGGTCAGACCTGCTGGGGGTGTGGATATCAGCCATATTCTGTGGATTCTTTGCTGAAAGATGCAAAGAACTGCACAGAAGTTAGATTGAAAAATATAGCTTATTTAAAGAGTAAATTAGAGAGAAAGGAGATTCACCTCCCCAAGGGGGCCAAAGCCAGGAAACATGGTGACGGCCACAGCTCAGATAGCACATGGCCACACCAGACTCTAGTAAGGCAATGGCAACTGGCTGCTCAAGGTTGAATGCTGTTAAATATTCCTGTTTGATGAGGGAAGGTCTTTAAGGTGGTTGAGTGGTAGTCTATTCCATGCCATCACAAAGGGGCAGGTGAGTGCAGGTATTGACATCAGGTGATGGATAGAAGGCAGATGGGTGGGTTAGTCACATGATTGCTGTCATGGTGGTGGGGTCTGTCTGGGTTGATTTGGTTAACTTGGGTCTTATAGGTGGAAGCAAATACTTGAAATAGAAAAGCTAATTGGTACATTACAAGTTGGGGAGGAGGTTTGTAAAACAATAATCAATAGCTACCTCTGAGAAACTGGTTCTGTCCTTGGTTAGTGATTGGAGGATAAGTTAAGTGAACTGCTAGAAAAATGTGAGATTTAGGCAATGTTAAAATAGTTGCTCATTGGGTATATTAAATCCATGTTATGTACTTTTATGCATATTTTTAAATGGATGATTTAAAGACTGTCTTACAAATCCAGTGTCTTCCTCATTGCTTCTGTTGACTGCTTTTTTTTTTTTCTTGTATATGAGCCATGCTTTTTTTTTTTTGCATGTGATAATTTTTTGTTGTTATTGTTGTTGAAAGCTGGGTATTTTAAATAATACAATGTGACAACTCTAGAAATCAGACTTTCCCCCCTTCCTAGGGTTTATTGTTGCTGCTATTATTATGGCAGTTTGCTTAGCGACTTTTCTAAACTAATTCTGTAAAGTTTGTTTTCTGTGTTGCCCGTGGCACTGAAATCTCTGCTGGCTTAACCTAGAGGGGTTCAGCTGATGGTTGGAGGGAGTTCCTGAGATGCCTGGATCAGGTGGTTCTCCTGGTCCTTGCTGAGGGGTTCAGTGTGTTTTGGGTTACACCTCCACTTAGCCTTTACTTCTTAAGTTTGCAGGGCTTCAGTGCTGGCAGAGGTGACTGTGCAGGGCATTCCCAAGTCTTTCCTGAGCATGAAAATGACCCTGGACACAGTCCTGGGCATACTCATGGTCTTTAGATTCCCAGAAGGACTTAGGAGTTTTTCAAGGCTTGCCATGGACGCCTCCTTTCCCAGCTTTTCCTTCAAGCTGATTGGTCAGTCTATTGTTTAATCCAGCTGTTATCTGCCACCCCAGGGTATGATTGAATAACTACTTCTGATTGTTTTTGGCAAGCACCCTCACAGAAAAGACTGCTCATACTGGGTAAACTCAGATTCAGGTAAAAAGACAGCCTTGAAGGTAAGGTGTTCCAGAAAGCTACCAGACAGTTCAATAATCACAATTCTATGGAGTGCCCTACCCCTGTGTGGCTGTGAGGTGGCTGTCTTTCACTGTGGCTGCAGGTGGCTGACTTTCAAGGCTGCTGTGGAGCTAGAAACTGGGAATGAAAGTAGGAAATTTAAACTCCACAATGCTCTTACTGAAGGTCAGCTGATTTTCTTAAACAGACATTCTCTGGATTGCTATGAACCTTTGGTCAGTTTCCAGAGTTCTGAAAAAAGTTGGTTCTGATATTTTTGTCACTGTTCTTGTTGCCTTTATAGAAAATAAAATATGTTGAGGCCTTTCTTCTGCTGTTCCACTGACCACAGGTGTTTTGAACCTGCATGTGCACGCCTGTACTCAGTGGCTCACTGAGGCCACTTCCTCGGTTGAATTGTTGGGGTATTTCTTTGAAAGGTGCCAGTGAGCTCTGCACTGCCAGCCAGGACTCTCATGCTTTGTCTTGTGCCTATCCTGGGCTGACCATACGACCTTGTGGTAGAGGAGCTGAGGTTTCCTGAGCACCTACTGTGTGCTAGGCTCTGTGTGCTGGGTGTTCTATGTAGACTCTATCCCATTCTTGCAACAACCAAGAACGAGATAACATTTAACAGTGAAGAAACTAGTAAGATGTAAAGTGCTTAGTCCTGTGCCTGCTGCTCGTAGCAGATATCGGATGTGCTGGTTATTGTCACTACAGCTATCATTAGCAGAGAGGAAGTAGGGTTGAGGGTTTCTCAGGGTCCTGGAGCTCATCTACATTTCACACCTCATCTCTGCTCCTCCTAGAGAGTCTGTTTCCACTCTGGGTCTCACTGTCTCTATCCTGTCAACTGAAGGATTGCAGTGACTGAAATTACTCAGTCAACAAGTACTGAATTGTCACTTGCAGAGTGACATTGCAGAGGTCAGTGATTTCATGAGGCCAGTTGCTCGGGGTCACATCGGTGGCATTCTCTTATTGAACCTGGAAAGTATCCAACTGACCAGCAGATATGTGACCCAGAGTGTGTTTCTCCCCCCCCCCACCCCTTGCTGCTGCAGAGGCCAGAGGGGACAGGGCCAAGTGGGTGTTCAGCTGGCCACTCATCTTCCTGCTGTGTGCCACCATTCCCAACTGCAGCAAGCCACGCTGGGAGAAGTTCTTCATGGTGACCTTCATCACTGCCACGCTGTGGATCGCTGTGTTCTCCTACCTCATGGTGTGGCTGGTGAGTGCAGGCGTGGTGGGGCTGTGGGGCGACTAGGCTGGGGGACTGGACTCAAGGGCAGTTGTGGGCCTCCTGAGCCCCCTTGAATGAGATGCTGGCCTCCTGAGCCCCCTTGGACGAATTACTGGCCTCCTGGGCTCCCTTAGATGGGTTGCTGGCCTCCTGACCTCCGCTCATTTCTCAGTGGGAAGGCATCTGAGTGAGGGGTCAGGTGCTGTGCAGGGACTAGGGGTGCCAAAATGTAGCATGGGGCTTGCTTGAGATGTGCCACTCTGGGCAGGGTGGACAGAGTGATGTGGCACGATGCCAGTCAGTGGGCATTCCTGAGGCCCCAGGGAGGCGAGAGAAGGAGACTGGAGTCCATGGTGATAAGGACAAGCCAAGGCTTCTCTGCACCCCACTGGGAATGCCCCTCCCACCTGTGTCAGATGCTGGCTTAGCACTCCACATGAACCCTTCTCCAGCCTCACCCCCACAAGATGAACATTGTTGAGCCTATTTTACAGATGGGAAATTCAAGCCATGGCACTATGGAGCCATTTCTTTAGGGTCACATGACTTGTGTATGCTGGGTGGGGGTTAGAACCTGAGTGAGCCAGTAGTCTCAGCTGCTCCCCATAGCCGGCATTCTGCTTGCCCTGGAGTTCTGAGAGGCCATCAGTGGAAGTCCTGCATGCCCAGAGGTGATGGCTCTTACCCTGCCGGAAGCCCCTGCCCATCCTCTGTGTACTGCCTGGTGGGGTCCTCTTCTCCTGCTCATCCCTGGTGGAGAGCACCGAGGGGGAGATGGTCACCACAGGACTGCGCTCATCTTGACTGAGAAGCTCACCTGTTGTCCTCATACCTGGCGGTTGTCACCTAGTCACTTCATCCTCCTGACACCCAGCCAGCAGCAGGGAAGACAGGAGGGCCTTGGGGGAGACAGCAGGTTGGGATGGGGGAGATGGCATCTCAAGGGATAGACAGCAGGGGGAGGGGGGAAGATGGCAGGTCTCCAGGGAGGGAGATGGTGGGTCTTAGAGAGACGACGAGTCAGTGGGGACTGCAGATCTAGCAGGGAGGTGGCAGGTCTTGGGAGAGAGACGGTGGGTCTGGAGGGGAGACAGCAGGTCTTGGTGGGAAAGACAGCAGATCTTGGGGGGAGGTGACAGATCTTGGGGGAGGGAGACGGCAGGTCTTGGAGAGATGGCAGGTGGGGGAGGGATGGCAGTCTACAGGGAGAGATGGTGGGTTTAGGGGAACAGCAGGTCTGGTGGGGGAGACAGCAGGTCTTGGTGGGAAAGGCAGCAGATCTAGGGGGAGATGACTGGCCTTGGGGGGAAGACATCGTGGGTCTAGGGGGTGGAAGATGGTGGATCTGGGTTGGTAGACCGTGTCTGGAGGGGATGGAGGGTCTAGCAGGGAGAGAGCAGGTCTGGAGGGGGAGACAGTGGGTCTCGAGGGAGAGACAGTGGGTGGGAGGGACAGTGGGTCTAAGGGGAGATGGCAGATCCCAGTGGGGGAGATGGCACGATTAGGGGAGAGAGACAGTGGGAGTGGAGAGACAGCTGATCTGGGTCAGGAGACAGCGGGTCTCAGCAGGGGAGGTGGCAGGTCTTAGGAGTGGGGGAGATGGCGGGTTTCAGAGCAAGAGATGGTGGGTCTGGGGCAGAGATGGCAGGTCTCAGCGAGGGGGGTGATGGATCTCAGAAATGGAGGAGACAGTGAGCCTTGGTTGGGGGGGAGACGGCGGCTCTCCATGGGGGAGATTGTGGGTCTCGGTGAGGGAGACGGCAGGTCTCTGCTGGAGAGGCAACAGGTCTCGGAAGTGGGAGAGATGATGGGTCTGAGGGAAAGAGACAGCTAACCTGGGTCAGGAGACAGCAGGCCACAGTGAGGGAGGCAGCAGGTCTTGGAAGTGGGGAAGATGGCGGGTCTCGGTGGGGGAGACAGTGGGTCTCGGAAGTGAGGGAGATGGCAGGTCTCTGGGCAAGAGACAGCGAGTCTGGAGTGGGGCGACGGTGGGTCTGGGGGAGAGGCAGTGGGTCCTGGACTAACTTTGCTGGGGCATTCCTAAACATGGCTTTGAACTTGAGAGAGCCTCAGTTTGGCCTTGACAGTAAAAATCAAGGAAGGCAGCGCCCGCATCAGCCCTGATTTTTCCTGAGCAGTACATGCTGGCCTATGTACCAGGTGAACTTGCGTGGTATGCTGTGAGGCGCCCAGAGTGGGCAGTCCCACCTGCTGTCCCCTAACCCCAGCCCACCTTTAATATCCCTCATCCCCAAGGCTTTGGGAAGAGTGGTCCTTGAATGTCAGTATCAAAAGGGAGGGTCTTAGAAACGGGTTGTCCATTTTCCAGCTTAGACACCTGAAGAATGAGAACCCAAGAGAAGGCAGTACTTTAGTGAGGTCATACAGATGGGCAGGGCAGAGTGAGACTAGTTCTCCCCCACCAAGAGAAGATGTAACTTCTGCGAGGTAATGTGGGTGGGCAGGACAGAGCAAGACCAGTCCTCTCCCCCAAGAGAAGATGGGACTTCTGGGACATCATGTGGGTGGGCAGAGCAGAGCAAGACCAACACCGACCACCCCCGCAACCTTACCACCCTCCTCTCCAATTTCCCCCCCTACAGGGCTTCTGGAGACGGGAAGGCCTCAGCCCTGTCACCAGGACGCCAGCCCTGCACTCATGGGGCCCATGGAGGTGGGAAGCTCCATGTGCTGTGTGGTGAGCTCATGTCTTACCCACTCTACAGGTGACAGTCATCGGGTACACTCTGGGCATCCCTGATGTCATCATGGGCATCACTTTCCTGGCAGCGGGAACCAGTGTTCCAGACTGCATGGCCAGCTTAATCGTGGCGAGACAAGGTATGGACCCTGCCCTGGCCCACAGCTGCCAGTGTCACCGTGACCCCCCCCTTGCCCCTGCCTCAGTCATAGCTGGCCATGCCGTGGCACTTGCAATGGGTGCTGTTGGGTCCTACTATGTGGCACCTAGGAAACGTGGCTTACTGGAGTCCACTCATGATGTGATACCACCAAGGGCGTCTCCTCTAGACCCCTGTCTAGACATTCCTGCCATGTTGTCATTAAAAGCAGATGTGTGCTGAGGTCATCAGTCAGGCTGAACTTGGACAGAGCTTGATTCCGGGTGTCGTGGAGGAAGTGAGCGAATGACAAGGAGGGTCCTGGGCCCAGGGAGGCCAGGCAGGTCCTGGTCCTGGCCCCTCTCCCACGCCCCCTCCGGCCCCAGAGCACGGGTTGCGTCTTGGTGTGTTTGGTGTTTTTTACTCTGGGTTTGCCAAGTGACTGACTGAACAGGACAAGGAGTGATGTGTATTCTCTGATGGCAGAACAGAGAGCTGGGCAGAGTCTGCCTTCCTGCTCCATTTCTGCAGGTGGGTAGCTCCCCAGATGGACTTCTACGGACTCTGCTTGCAGGTCAGAGGAGAAAGTGTGGGGTTGGGATGGGAGGATCATGGGTGATATCTCACAGGGAGAGGAGAGAATGGTACCAGAGAGGAAAGCTGGCATTGGAAGAAGGACAGGACATTGTGTCCCTCCGAGATGGAGAAGGGTGGACTGGTCAGCCAGTAGGGCTGAGAAGTCTGAGATGGGGGAAGGAGAGGACAGGCATGTGTTTATGGTAGGTGGGGCCTTGCAGAGAACGGGACCACTGGGGACAACTGAGAAGGGTGAAATTCAACTGGGTGATCTTTGATGTGTCAATTTCCTGGGGCAGCTGTGACAGAGCACCACAACCAGATGGCTTAAACAGGCATAGGATCTGACACCTTAGAATCCTGGCTCTGGTTGTGGGAGGCACTCCATGGCCTAGTGTGAGGTTACTAGGCTGGGCGTCCTAAAGCTGAGCCCCATAGGAGCTGCGCCGACATGGCCTGAGCTTCACTGCCATCTTCTGCCGTGTGAGCACGATGCTCCCCTCTGCCCCCACCTCACCGGGTGACAGGTTAAACAAGGTAAATTTCATGGCCGGTCCTCGGAGACTAGCAGCAGATGCATGGCAGGAGGAGTAACAAGGGGCCCCACGTGCACCTGCCAGGGCTGTCCTTCCCGCCCCGTGATCCCAGCAACAAAGACTTGCTGTCTCATGGTTCGGAGACTGGAGTAGGTCTAAGGCTAAGGTGCCAGCAGGGCTGACTTCTTTGGTTGTGAGGAAGGGTCAACTCCAGGCCCCCTTCATGACTCTTCATGGCCACCTCTGTCCTCTCCCTGTGTTCTCCCATGTGTGTCTGTGCCCAGGTTTCGCCTCTTTATTTATTTACTGTTTTTTGAGTTAGTGTCTCACTGTGTCACCCAAGCTGGAGTATAGTGGCACCATCATGGCTCACTTGCAGCCTCAACCTCTTGGGCTCAGGCAATCTTCCTGCCTCAGCCTCCCGAGTACCTGGGACTACAGGAGTGTGCTACCATACTCAGCTAATTCTTTTTTTTTTCTTTTTTGAATTTTTACCTTGGCCTCCCAAAATGCTGCCCTGCCAAGTGTCTCCTCTTTAGGACACCAGTCATATTGGGTTAGGGCCCACTCCAGCAGCCTCACTTTGGCTGTTGCCTCCTTAAAGACCCTATCTCCAAATAAGGGCACATTCAGAGGCACTGGGGGCCAGAATTTCCACATGTGGTTGTGCAGGATCACAGTTCAACCTGCTGCAGCCCCTGGAGACTCCATGGAGGGAGCGAATCTCAGCCCTCACAAGATCCTTTGGAAACATGGGGCCGCAAAAAGGGAACTCCTTCCTGAGGACTGGTACTGATAGAATTACAAGAAGGATCTGGGTCTCAGTGACCTGCTTTCAATGGACATGTGTTGTCATCTCTGCAGGCCTTGGGGACATGGCGGTGTCCAACACCATAGGAAGCAACGTGTTTGACATCCTTGTGGGCCTCGGCGTGCCATGGGGCCTGCAGACCATGGTGATTGACTATGGGTCCACGGTGAGTCTCTCCTGCTGTGAGTAGGGTAGGTGTGTCCCACCAGGAAAGATGGCAATGCTGGCCTGTCTCCTCAGAGTCTCCAGGAAATAACCCCTTTTCCCTGGCATCCAGGTACCCACTCTCCGGAAGCTTCCAGAACAACCCAGGTGGTCTAATATTTCACTCCCTGTCTCAGTATACCAGTGCCCGCCCCATCCCAGGTCACCCCTAAGGAGTGGGTCATGACTGGGTCCACATCCCCTGTCCCCTGTGGCCTGCTCACCCGTGAGCATGAGTCTTCCTGAGGAGAGATTTATTTCCTGAGTGCACTGGGCATTTGGTACAGACTGGTAAGGGGCCGGGCTCAGGGTGCATGTTTGCCTTCCTAGGTGAGGATCAACAGCCGGGGGCTGGTCTACTCCGTGGTGTTGCTGCTGGGCTCTGTTGCCCTCACTGTGAGTCTCTGTTACCCCAAATAGATGCCTCATGTTTACATTGCCTCACCTGACTCTGCCCATCCCTTGTGGGACCCAAAACACCTGCCATCTCTTTGGCAGTGAGGGAGGAACCCAGGCAGTACAGATACTCACAGAGACCCCCAAGAGCACCAACACCCCTGCTCCTACAGATAAGAAGTCACCAGGGGGGCTAGGCACAATGGCCCATGCCTGACACTCCAGCACTTTGGGAGGCTAAGGCAGGAGGATTGCTTGAGCTCAGAAATGTAGATCAGCTGGGCAACATAGCAAGACCTCATCTCTACAAAAAAAATCAAAAATTAGCCAGGCATAGTGACACGTACCCGTAGTCCCAGTTACTCTGGAGGCTGAAGCAGAAGGATCACTTGAGCCCAGGAGTCAGGGGCTGCTGTAAGCTGAAATCTTACCACTGCACTACAACGTGGGAAGCAGAGTGAGCCCCTGTCTCAAAAGAAAAAAAATAGTCACTGGGGAAGGGAGTCATTCCCTACCTCTCGCCGCCTGACCTAGTCCCCTCTCTGGTGCCAGGGAGAGAAGCCCTCCCCTGTCCACCTGAGAGGACGAGCGGTGTGGCAGCCCCCCTGATGGCAAGTCAGAGCCACCCAGGCCTTCCTGCCCCCATACCCCATCTGTGCCGAGCCTCGACTTCGGTCTCCTTGTTTGGTCCACAACCACCTGCTGTGGTGGTCAGTATCATTTTGCAGAAGAAATGGAATCTCAGATGCTGACTTGCTGAGGCTGCAGTTGGCAAGTGGCAGAACCAGGACCTCAGGCCACAGCATCCCAGCACCTGTCCGTGGCACCCTGGCCCTTGTCCACAGCACCCTGGCTCTTGCCCTTGGCCCCCTGGCTGTTGCCCATGGCACCTTAGCACTTGCCCATGCCACCTGGGTCTTGAACTTTGTGCCATGAGGTTCTTGGGATCCAGCCCCCAGAGAGCCTGGACTTGAGACAGGAAGGTGGGTGCAGGATAAGGAAGCATGGAAAGTCAGGGAAGGGTGTAGGCTGGGGATATGCCTACCCACCTACCCCCTGCACACACACGCAGAGAGACGGCCCTGTGGAAGGTACCCAGCTGTGGTTCTGGTGGGCCTTGGGAAGCTGCTGAGACCCAAGAGTAAAGACCATGGTGCCACGTTTTGCAGCACAGGGTTCATCCAGAGGAGGGTGCTGCTTGTCCCCAGAGAAGCCTGCGCCAGGAGGCCATGTTGCCAGGAGGAGGCAGCCTGCCTAGGGAGGGCAGTCCCAGGAGGGCGACTGCAATGTCCTTGGTCTGTGGGACAGGAAAAGTCTAAACCTTCTGGGGCTTGATCTGGTCCAACCAAGGCTCAGCCAGCAGCGCCCTTTGCGCTTGCCACATTCTGCAGAAAGTCCTGGGCCCTGAGGTAGATGCCGCTCCCCAGAAGGACTGCGGGAGTGCCTCTCACACATTTCTCCCTGAGCCCAGCTCCCATTCCCCACCAGCTTATGTTCCCCTCAAGCTCTCCTTGCTCACCCCTCAGGTCCTGCTCCTCCTCCCCACTAGGTCCCCAGTCACCACCCCTCCGCCCCAGGTCCTGCTCCCCCGCCAGTTTCCGTCCCCCATCAGATCACCCTCTCCACCCCACTCCCAGCCAGCTCCCACTTACCCCCCCAAACTCCTGCTGCCCCCCAGGTCATGGGCCCCCATGTAGGGCTCCCAAGAGGACCAGATATGCCTCTCCCAGTCCTGCCTGAGTCCAGCTCCCACTCCCCTCCAGGTCTTACTCCCCCCCCTTCACTCTCCCCCAATTCCTGTCCCACTCCCCTGCTGGGTCCCCCTCCCTGCTGGGTTCTGTTCCTCCCAGTTTCTGCTTGCCCTCCCAGCTCCTGCTCCCCACCCTAGCTCCCGCTCACCCCCTCCAACTGCCACTCGCCTCCCCCCAGCTCCTGCTCCCCAGGTCCTGGGCTGCAATGTAGGGCTCCCAGGAGGACCAGGTGCGTCTCTCCCAGCCCCACCCAAGTCCAGCTCCTGCTCCCCCACCACCAGGTCCTGGGCATCCACCTGAACAAGTGGCAGCTGGACCGGAAGCTGGGTATCTGTGTGCTGGCCCTGTACGCTGTCTTCCTATGCTTTTCCATCATGATCGAGTTCAACGTCTTCACCTTCGTCAACTTGCCAATGTGCCAGGAAGACGATTAGGGCTGGGCCTCCCTGGGAGCTGTCCCGAAACCCTGTGACACTGGCATCCCCGACATCATCCCTGCCACAGGCCTGTCCTGCATCTGTTTCACATGTGGAAGGAAGAGCTGTCATGGCCCTGTCTGGTCACAGTCCTGCTGGGGCATCCTCCTCCTCCTCGGAGCTCTGCCCCATGAGGCAGGATTCGGGCTTATTTGAGCAGCTGTGAGGACCCTGAGCTGCCAGTCAGAGGTATTGTGTCACCTCTTTCCTGTATTTTCCTGAGGAGAACTCCATGTGAAGCTTGGCTCCTGGGCTGTGATAGCCTGGGATGTGAGGCGGGTGGCACATGGGGCCTCCTGGGGCTGTTCCCAGGTGACCTCTGGCCCAGGGGTGGCCCCCTGGGCAGTGTGTAATCCTGGGAGCCTCCGGCTGAACCTGGGAACACCCCCAGTTTGGAGGGGCAAGACCTCAATCTGCAGGGGTTTGAGACTGTGATGGCAGACTTTTCACCCCATTTTCTAGAAAAATTGGAAGAATGGAAACAATTTTTCTCAGCAGAAGAGAGAAAATGAGTGAATATTCTTATCACTTTGACACATTCAGAGAATGAGCAATGAAATATTAAAAACAAACCATCACAGAGATTATCATACTTGAAAAATACTGTTCCACATACATGCATCACGTTGCAGATCAAGAAGGTCATGACTTCAGAAGGCATCCGTGTGTCCCGTCTGACCCCAAGGTGTGTGGTCTGGAATGGAGAAAGGTGGGGCCGGTCTTGAAACGGGTACCAACTGAGAGACAGTCGGAGACTCCTTCCCGGTTGAATACTGCAGGCTTCTGTGTCTCACAAGGCACCATCGCTTGGGTTAGTCGTTTCTTTGTTAATGCTGTGGTTTCAAAACCACCGTGTTGAAAGACCCGATTGTTTATGTCCAACAAATTTCATAGCCTGCTGCACTGGACAAGCGTGTCACAAATGCTGGTTGATGACAGAAGGAGAGATTTACTAAAAAACAACAATTTACTCTCAGGTTAGCTCACGGCAAGTGTGGAAACCATTGCTTAGAATTTTTGAGCTAAGTTTCTTAAACAGTGCAGTTTGCTACAGGTGATACGTCAAGGATGGGAGGCAGGTTCAAAATAGAAAAATAGGAACCAATTTTAGACAGCTCTGTAGCTCACATACAAATGTATATCAGAAAGATCTATGAACACAAACCATTCGTGATTTCTAAAAAGAAAGCACAATTAATTTTATAGAGAGGTTTTTTATTTTTTTAATATTTTTATTGCAAAAGTCTATCCGATCTGATGCACTTTGAATATGGGATATTATGCATGGAAGAGCATGTGGGAATAGCCCAGGATGATGTGAGACAGGAAATTGCTCTAGATGCAGTGATGGATTTAAATCCAGCAGTAAATCCCTTCTGGGGGCACTGAGACCACGATCACATGGAAGTTTCTGGCTGTGCTTTCTCAGGTCTCCTGGGTTTCCTAAGGAGAAAGTGTCTGACCTTGTGCTCTGTTTCCTTACCCCAAGCAGCAGTGTACCCTCACTATCACCAGGCCTTGCACGAGTCACGTCTATTCGTGGCTACACCAAGTCTGCTTCCCTTTTGGTCTCTCTACCTAGAAATGGGCTCCAGGGTCTTTGAGTTGAGGACAAGGGTAGCTGTCCTGGAGGTCAGCTATGCCAAGGATGCTGTAGACTCACCAGTGTAGACTTCAACTGCAGGGATCTGGGCCCTCGGCTGCTCTGGGCTCTGATAGCTTAGTCCTCTGGTTCCTTCAGGCTTGTCAAGCAACGTGCTTCTGTCTCTGATTTAATTCTCCACACTGCCCTGGGTGTAAGTGGTGATTAGTCTCCCCATTCAACAGAAAGTATAGTCTTGCTACTAAGGTTAAGGGACTCTGCTGTCGGCAGCTCTGGGACCCAGCACCACCTGTCACCCTCCTGGCTCATCCAGTCTGCTGGGTGACCACCCCTGGGGAAGGAATGTGGGTGCAGAATGACCAGGCCAGGGAGGAAGTGAGCATGCTGGGTGGCCACCCTGGGGAAGCAGTGTGGGTGTCACTTTGCCCTTGTGGTTTGTTCTTATCGTTTGAGTCCAAACTTCATCAACACTTAATTGGCCCCTGTGATCCCCAGGTCCCAGACTAATCTTTGTCCCTTCCAATATCTCTACCTTTTCTTGAAAAAGACTCAGAATGGTTTTTAGCCTTGACGAGGCACTGGCCACATGGCACCAATGAGTACCTGGTGGTTTTCAGTTCTCTGCACCCTGGCACAGATTTCAGAGAACACGTCCTACCCACCCTCTTCCTCTGCAGTCCCATCAGAGATTGTAAAGTGCGCTGCGGGTGCAGTTAGACACTAGACACTAATGCTTCTAGACCGTGGTGCGTCCTCTTGGCTAGCTTTCTTTTCACATTAATGTGCCAATGTCACTTCTTCAAAGGATCTATGCACCTGTCATACTTAGGAAACTCTATGTACGCTGGAGGTGAGGAAGTCTTCTTTTTCACGGAATGTTTTTCCATTGCAAGGTTGGCTTAAGTAGGCCTCATTTTAAAATCACATGTTCATCACTGTGCAGGACTACTTCTTTTATTTTATTCCCAAAGCTCATTAGCACAGGGGCAATTACTCTGCTACAAAAATAGGCAATTAAAAAAATAAGTCTAGCTCTTCTCACTGGGGGCAGAAAAGAGAAATGAACAACTGCGCTCCGATAGAAAATGTCGATTGAAGCAGGAACAGGCTTCCACCACTCTCCAAGTGGGAGCATGCCCTTGCGGGTCAGGAGGATCAGGGTGGAAGGTGTGCAGCGTCCTGAGGATTGGGCCTGGGGAAGATTCCGGGTAGGTGTTGAAGAGACTGATGATCAGGGCACTGTGGGCAGGGCTACGTCCTCCCCCACCCGGCCTCCCTGCTGCTGCCCCAACTCCTTCCCCACCACTTGTGGCTCCACCTTCTGCCCGGAAATGACTGCGGTGAGTGTTCACTGCCCATCCCCCTCCCTGTTGGGCCCTTGCTTTGTGCTGTCAATCCCTGGCTTTAGACCCTAGCAGCTAGAGGCACCCCGTCCCAGGGCCAGGCTCACCCTGGTGCGTGTCACCCCAGGGTCATCCTGCAGACCTGGACCGCAGCCCCCCACTGGGCTCCCAGGGTCCGCCTGCTGTTCCCTGTCAGGATTTGTGGCCTCATCGCATCCCAGGAGCCTCACTGGAGAGCACCCTTCCCAACAGATGGGCATTTGGGCAGGACATGGTGGTGGCCTTGCCGGACACCCATCTTCCTGCCTGGTTTTCTCCTCCCTGAATCCTGCGGCCCCTCCCTCTCCTTAAGGCAGGGTAGACAGAGGCAGCAGGGATTAGGAGAGGGTCATGTCCTTCCCCCACCCTCCAGGAAAAGAAAGAGCAAATCCCAGCTCCCAAGGAAGCCACTGCTTCCCACACCCTACCCGCCCTCCCTGAGTATGAAGCAGCTGGTGGGGCTCATGCCTGCTCTGCCCTCCCTGGGTGTGAATTGACTAGCAGGGCTCACGCCCTTCCCACCCTCCCTGGGTGTCAAGTGGTTTGTGGGGCTCATGCCCTCACCATTTTTCCCGGGTATGAGGAAGCTAGTGGAGCTCATGCCTTCTCCGCTCTCCCAGGGTGTGAAGCTGCTAGTGAGGCTCTTGCCCTCCTGGCCCTCCTTCATTATGAAGCAGCTTGTGGGGCTCATGTTCTCCCCATCCTCCCTGGGTGTGAAGCGGCTGGCAGGACTCATGCCCTCCCTGGGTGTGAAGTGGGTGGCAGGGCTCACATTCTTCCTGCCCTACCTGGGTGAGAAGTGGCTTGCAGGACTCATGCCCTCTCCATTCTCCCTAGTTGTGAAGTGGCTGATGGGGCTCACGGCCTCCTTGTCATCCCTGGGTGTGAAGCAGCTGGCAGGACTGACACCCTCCCTGGGTATGAAGCGGCTGGTGGGGCTCACAGAACTGAAATGGGGGTGGGTTTTGCTGCTACAGTTTGACATTTCCCCAAGAGTCAGCAGCTGAGAGGCAGAGGCCCTGCTTCTCTGGCTGAACCTCAGGGGATGCGGGTCTCTTGTCCCCCTCATCCCTTCTCTGTGGTCATGTGGCCTCAGCAGACACCTGCTCTTCTGGTCAATACAGAACTGCCTGGAGCCTGCGGGAGGGTCCTCAGGAGGGTGGCCCCTGGGCCAGCCCTGAGTACTCTCATGTCTTTCTAACACCCCCAGATGTGGGGTCATTCTTCCAGGGGGGCAGTGAGCAGGTGCACCCGGGCCCCTGAGGGTGGGCCACATCTCAGAAGCTCTGTGGCCATATCGTGCCCATAGGAACGTCCAGAAGCTTCTGCGTATATGCCCGGGCAGCTCTTGAGTGGCAGGATGCCTATCATTCCCACCCGAACCGGACCTTCATGCAGACTCGTCCAGAGAGTCTAGCGCCCTCACCGGGTGTGATGGCTGCTCTTGGGCTTTCTGGTCTCTGCAGCTCCGTGGGAGCCCCTGGCGCAGGAAACCTCCTCAGGCCTTCCTGAAGCCTGGGCCTTCATGATCTGGGTATATCTCCCACTGTGTTGGTGTGTGGGATGAGATGAGGGGTCTTTCCCTGGGCCTGTCCTACAAGGCAGAGGACGTGGGATTTTGGTCCTTCTGCCACAGCCTTTCCTGTCCTGGTGTGGGGAAGCCCATTGGCTCATGGCTAAGGACTATCCTCCAAGGGCACACTCACAGGGAACAGGCCTTCAGGAGGCGCTTGGGTTCAGGTTGTCATGTTTGCTTGTTAATGAAGAAAACTAAGCTGGGACACTAGCTTTGTGCTCACCTTCAGTCTAGGAGCTGCCAGTGACTGTCCAGCCTGTTGTCCTGTGACATGGGAGGGGGCACCTCCATCCTGCCATCAGGGTCCGCTGTCTATAGGGAAAGCCAGCTGGGTGATGTAGGGCATGATTATTTTACAGGGTTTTTAAAAACCCTGACTTTTCTTTTTTTGAGTAAGAGTCTCACTCTGTTGCCCAGGCTGGAGTGCAGTGGCACACTCATG